AAGTAAGTAAGTAAGTAAGTAAGTAAGTAAGTAAGTAAGTAAGTAAGTAAGTAAGGGGGCCGGGCAACTCTCAGGTCATGACTCCTGAGTGCTTTCCAGCTGTTTCTGTTTGTTTATTTTCTGTTTCCTTTGCGCTTATCGTGGGACGAACCTTCGACGTTTTGGGGTATTATACCTCTTTCTATATCTTGTGCAGTGAAAACTGAATGCAATTCTCAAGAGTTCACATGCTCGGATGGAACTTGTATCCAAATGTCCTGGAAATGTGACCGGGACGCCGACTGTGCTGATGGAAGTGATGAGGATGGATGTGGTGGCAATGGCGGTAGGTGGACCAAAATTTGGGTTGGGCATAGGTTGTTTCCATTTCTTTATCCCCAATATAACAAGCCATAAGAACCAAACAGTGATTATTTTTCAATACTCACAGTGAACCACGGCATTTTGAGAACCATTCAAACGAGAAGAGTTACCTTTATTTTCCATCTCTTTGTTCTAAGTCACATTCTACAGAATGGTGAGGACGAAGTTGTTTTAACTTTAAAATTTCCTCTAATTTCATCTGAGGAAAAAGTTGCCTTAAAAGAGGTTCGACGTGAAATTTTATAACCATTAAAGCTCAGCGGCACAAACACAAACACGCGCACGCAACACTTCAAACGTTTTCAGTCTATGAACTTGATTAGGCCGTGTAGTCATGGAAACTTTGAAAGTCAAAAAGTAGAAAGCACCTAACAAAGATCCAATCAGCGAGTATGTAACTGTGTCAGTGGGGGAAAATGTGCCGTAAACTTTTACTTTTACCCCATTGTCAGGGCTAGGAGAGCGTGAGCCCTCTGTACAATGTGAGTGTTCTTTTTGTTTCAAATCTTTTACTTTTTTTACAAGAAGAGTTTCATTTAGGAAGGACCGTGGGAATGTATGAGGTGACAACAGTGATTGGATAAAAGAGCAAGCGGCCAATTTAAATACTCTGCCTTCATTGTACCCGATCATAATGATTTCAACTGCTAACTATTTAAGAAACTTTCATTTTCTTTGGATAGAATTGGGGGATGAGGAGGGGGGCTCAAGCCTTTAAACCCTTCACTACCCACCGCCATTGTGTGGTGGTATGGTATTATTGTTTTCTTCTAGCATTTTTGTTTCGTTTTGTTTAATTGATTAACTTTGTTTCTGTGCTTCTGTTTTCGTACTTCGTATAACAGTCAAACATTCCATTTGTTTGGATTCGTTTTGGTTTGTTTGTTTGTTTGTTGGTGTTGTTTTGTTTGTTTGCTTGTTTAATTTTTTAGGGGGCTGGTAAATGTAGGGTGTTTACGCCCCTATTGACACAGCTTAGATCGTTTAATAAAGATCATCATCATCATCATCATCATCATCAGCAGCAGCAGCATCATCAGCATCATCAGCATCATCAGCATCATCAGCATCATCAGCATCATCATCATAAATAGCATTTGTATAGCGTATAACCCCGCTCTACATCAAGCTATATACTCTTTACACTATATAATATATCATTACCCCAGCAGACCAAAGAACACCCAGAAACACTCTCAGCTCCCCGGGAAGCACACAGTGCAAGCAGCTGTTTGAGCACTCACACATTAACATACTGACCAGAAACAACTGTGAGAGACATGCTAATGGATATATTATGCCTCTTTCTATATTATCTTGGACAGGTAAACCTGAATGCAATTCTCAAGAGTTCACATGCTCGGATGGAACTTGTATCCAAATGTCCTGGAAATGTGACGGGGACGCCGACTGTGCTGATGGAAGTGATGAAAGTGGATGTGGTGGCAATGTCGGTAGGTGGACCAAACTTTTGGTGGGGCTTATCACCAATATAACAAGCCATAAGAACCAAACAGTGATTATTTTTCTATACTCACAGTTAGCCACGGCATTTTGAGAACCATCAAACGAGAAGAGCTACCTTTATTTTCCATCTCTTTGTTCTAAGTGACATTCTCCAGGATGGTGAGGATGAAGCTGTTTTACCTCCAAAATTTCCTCTAATTTCTTCTGATGAAAAGTTGCCTTAAAAGTGGTTCGGCTTGAAATTTTATAACCATTAAATCTCCTCCTCCTCCTCCTCCTCCTCATCATCATCATTATCATCATCATCATCATCAGCAGCAGCAGCAGCATCATTGAGGAAGTGTCCAAAAGTGCAATCTCAAAGATGAAGGTTATCGGTGCTGTCAGCAACTCAAAATGGGGCTGGGGTAAGGAGTCGCTCAAGAATGTATATCAGATGTTTGTGAAAAGCAAGATGGATTATGCTGCCCCAGCGTGGCAGCCTTGGCTGAGTGAGACTAGTGCAAAGGCCATGGACAGAATACAAAACAAAGCCCTCCGCCTTGTATCAGGTCAGCTGAAAACAACACCAACAGAAGCGCTGCGCTATGAGACCAGAACTGAGCATTACACCACCTACACAAAAAGAACATGCCTCAAGTCTGTAGAGATGGCTAAGAGATTACCAGACAACCATCCTAGAAAGAAAGCCCTTGATCAAGCAGTCAAGTCTAAAAACAGCAGGAAAAGTTGGTTTCGGATGGTCACCGATCTAGCAGACCCCCCCCCCCCCAGAAGCAGAGAATCGATGGCCGATCAATATGGTGAGAGCTTGTCCATGGGAGACCCATGGCTAAATCGAAATTCGGACAGAACTGAGAGAAGTAAAAGGAAAAGGTGATGATCCTGTAAAGGCACGTGAAGCAACAGAGGATGTGGTCAAAGAGGTTGGTGCGGATGTGATAATTTTCACCGATGGATCGGCTGTCGCAGGATACCACGAAGGTGAAGCAGCAGCAGTGGTGATAATGAATGATGAACCACCACGAACAGAAATAATTAAAACTAAAGGTGCATTCCTTACATCATCTTATGACGAGGAATGCCAGGCAATGATGTCTGCTACACAATGGATTGTTGACAACTGCCACAGCAGAACCAATGTGCTGATCTTGACTGACAGTCAGTCCCTCTGCAGTGCATGCTAGGCAACAGCTCGGACATGAATGATTTGCGCGCAAGTTCAGTGAAGCTACGGTCACAATAAAAATCCAGTGGATTCCTAGCCATGTTGGAATAGAAGGAAATGAGGCAGCAGACCAAGCTGCTAATGAAGCCAAAGAGGTTGAAGGAGACAGACGACCAACAACATACAGAGGAGTCTTTCCAATGATCAAGAGGGAAATCAGAGACCCACCATGTAGAGCTAAGTACCAGCACCTGGAAGATGTGTATTCTGGGTACTCCTATAAACGGGAACAAAAATCTATCATATGTCGCTGGGACCAGGTTGAACTAGCGAGACTGCGGTCGGGCCATCATTGGAGCTTAAGATGGTATAAGAACTTTGTAAATGAAGAGCTCAGCCCATGTTGCCGAAGATGCGGCCATGAAAAGAAGGATGTCAAACATATGTTTGAATGTCCAGGAACAATGGCAATTCGAATGGAGGTATTTGGACGAGTGGAGGTGCCGCTAAGCATATTGACAATGATGAAATTTTATAACCATTAAATCTCATCCATAAAAAGCATTTGTATAGCACATATCCCCGCTCTACTCAAGCTCTATGCACTTTACACTATATCATATTATTACCCTAGCAGACCATCGAAGACTCAGAAACATTCTCAGCTCACCGGGAAGCATACAATGCAAGCACCTGATTGAGCACTCAAACATTAAGATACTGACAAGAAACAACTCTGAGAGACATGCTAATGGATATATTATGCCTCTTTCTATATCTTGGACAGTTAAACCTGAATGCAGTTCTCAAGAGTTCACATGCTCGGATGGAACTTGTGTCCACATGTCCTGGAAATGTGACGGGGACGCCGACTGTGCTGATGGAAGTGATGAGGATGGATGTAATGGTATGGCCTTATTGTTTTCTTCTGGCAACTAAAAAAAATTAATTAATTTCTTCTTTTTTTTTTCATAACTTTTTTTTTACTAATTATTTTTATTCTTACTTTATTTATTTTTTATATATTTTTTTTTTGGGGGGGGGAGGTGCCTGTGCTTCTGTTTTCATACTTCGTATAAAACACTGTCATACATTCTGTTTGTTTGGGATATATTTTTGGGTTGTTGTTGTTGTTTTGTTTGGGGGGGGTGTTTATTATTTTTGTTTGCTGTTTTCGTTTGTTTGTTTATTTACTTTTTTTGTGGAGACGGGTAAATGTAGGTGTTTTAATGCCCCCATGGACACAATGTAGATTATTTAGGAGTTGGGCATCAGACTCTGCTTGTCAAGGCCAACCCGGGCTGAGAGGGACACAACATCCCAGCAGACAGACCGAGATACTCGACCAAAATGTTCTTCCCACTCGACAATCGAACTCAGGTCGCCTTTGCACAACAGTGAAGCACCTAACCGCTGTACCACAGTCGCCGGTAATTAATATTATGCTGTACTAGATCACGAAAATTCAAGCTTGCTGTAGGGGTGGTGAATTCATTCGTACCAACTACAGAACACACAGTGCTACAAATGAGAGAGAGAGAGAGAGAGAGAGAGAGAGAGAGAGAGAGAGAGAGAGAGAGAGAGAGAGAGAGAGAAAGAGAGAGAGAGAGAGAATGTTTTACAGAGCGGGTTGTTTCAGCACGTGAGACATGTATTTGTTAATGTACTGTCGTGTGCGTATGCGTGCGTGCACCTAACCTTCGTAACATCCACTGCCATTGTAAACGACCAAGACAAATTTCTCCCTGCGAGATGAATAAAGGTTGTAATTGTCGTTGTCGTTGACACTGTTGGCTCAGTGGGGGGGGGGATGAAGATATTAATTTGTTGTTTCATTTTTCAGTTACAGTTAAGCCTCAATGTACCTCTGGACAATTCAACTGCTCGGACGGAACTTGTATCAGCCTCAGTGAGAAATGTGACGGGGACGTAGACTGTCCAGATGGAAGTGATGAGAGTGGATGTGATGAAGGTACAGCACTGTTTCATCTATATTTTTGTCTGCACAAATAGTCCCTTTCAAGGACAAGGGGGCTATCTCGAACAACGCTGTTTTGAAAAAATCGAAATTAAAGCTTTTGGACTCTCATTCAGTTTCTTTAAAAAAAAACAAGGAGCGTTTTCTCTATAACCAAACAAATATACACACCAATGAAACGAAACCTCTCTTATAGGTAGGGCAATGCTCACTTTTGGTGAAAGTCAAGATTTCTGGAAACTCCCGAAATCTGGGTTAGCCTGCTTGTCCTTAAAGTGACCAAATTATAATATGCCTTTTCTGTCCAGGTGACATGTCCCAACGTGTTTTTAAAAAAACAGATACGATTTTACAGTTGTCTTCTGTTAATCATCTCAATCACCTTACGAAAATGTAAACGTCACAGATTCCCAATTAATAGACAGGTCAGTCATCCTGTCATTCTGTTTTTCAAAACAAAGAAACCTAAACAGGTGCTGTTTTTATCAAACATAATTTGATATCTTGATGCCCCATTTCTAAGAATGTTATTTTCAACAAACTTTGCTAAACAAAAGGTGTTATAAAAGAACAACAACAATTGCAAAATAATCCCCCACCCCCCAAAAAATCAACCTGGTACTGTATGAAATCACTTTACGCTCATCATCATCCGTTGCTTTGCCGACTGGCGTGGGCGATCATTGACCTCCACTTCACTCTGTTTCGCATTGCAGTAATGGTGTTTGATGGTCATGCAGCTCCCAGCCATTTTACCCAAGCAGCTACTAAAGACTAAGAGATGAATAACAACACTGATTTGATCAAGATTGTTTTACAATAACGCTATCTCCTTTGGTAACAACAGAATGTTGGAAGTACCAGACTCTTTCTCAGTGAAGTAAAAAGTAGACTCGTTGATCATTCTGTGCAGAACATAGAGGAAGAACTCTGTCGCAAGTATAATGTTTTCTCTCTTACAATTCCTTTTCATGAAACAGCTGAATATATCACCAACCTCCCATGGTATTGGAGCAGAAGAGTCATAGCTTTGTTAAAAACCCATAGCCTTTCATTAAATAACAATCTCTATCTGTGGAAATTAACTAATTCGCCCTTATGTGAGAGGTGTAATTTCACTTTATTTTCTATTGTTCAAACTTTGTCTATCAAAGGAAATTGTTAATCCCTCCCAGCATGACTCGGCCCAGTGACAAAAATATGCAATGTTTGACTCGTGGTAAGAGACATGTGCACAACCTGTACTTATTCAATATGGAAACTTTATGTATCAAATGAGTGTTTTGTGTGATGTGATATGGGCCAATGGCCTTAAACACTGAATACATTTACTTACTTACTTACTATCTCGTTTGGTATTCCGGTTGAAATATTTTCGAAGTAACAAATTCTTCCTAATAAAGCAGCAAAGTGAGGATAACTTAACAAAAGAAATCAGACCACTTGACATTTCTTCTCTGAAAACTCAATTGGCTGCCAGTAAAGCAAAGTATCGAATACAAAACTGCCGTTTTCCA